GTGTTGGTCTTTTGGCATTGAGAGATAGTATGTAGTCATCAAATCTTTTTGGAATTGTACCCCTATTTGATCTAATGGGCTATCAGGAGGAGATTCAGCACCTTGCATAAACTTTGCTTCCTTCTCAGTTAGTGGGTCTACTTTCAAGATAGGATGCCCTTTTTTCCATTCTTCATTAATTATTTTTTGATAATTGTGTTTGCCGGTCTTTATGATTTTGGGTTCAGTAACGGGTGAATTGTGTTTTCTGTGAGAGGATGTTGTGTTCTCTGACTCGGGGCACAATTCATTAAGGTGTATTTTGGACCAATTAGAGTGTTCATGGAACACAGCAGATCTAGACACGATGAATTGGTTGTTTTTATCTATGAAACGATATCCCTTAGTTCCTGATTCGTACCCCATGAATCTTAGTCTTTTAGATACTTTTTCACCTTTGTGTCTCAATTGTTTAGGCACATACACATCTGCAGTTACGCCAAATATTTGTAGATGTCCAATTTTTGGTTTTTTGTTATACATGAGTTCATATGGTGTTTTGTTAATTACACTGGACCATAATCGATTTAGGGTATAATTAGAATATGTAAGGGCTTCAGCCCAGAAAGATTGACTTAAACCAGCATCGTCTAGCACATATCTAACCATGGTTTGTAAGAAACCATTTTTTCTCTCTATGGCTCCGTTCTGGAAGGGTTAGAAGGTACAGGATTTAAAATGTAATATTCCCTGCATTTTTAGCCAATTGGAAAATTCGTTAGATAAAAATTCTGATCCTCTGTCGGTCATTATTTGTTTGATTTTTACATTATGTTTTTTTTTTTTTAATTTGATTTATATGCCGCCCTTCTCCGAAGACTCAGGGCGGCTTACAATGTGCTCAGCAATAGCTGAGTTTCTACTGTTGAGTTTCTACTCTTTTAAAGAATTCTTTGAATTTTTTGAAAACTTCATTTTTATGGTTAAGAGTGTACACGAACCCAAACCTGCTGTAATCATCGACTATAGTTAGGAAATATTTTTTCTATATTTGATTGATGGTTTCATTGGGCCTACGACATCCATATGTACCAATTGAAAAATTGATTGTGTGGTGCGAGTGGCCTTTTTGGGCTTAGGTTTGTTTTTGAGCTTGGAGGATTTACATACTGAACACTCCAAATAGTTTTTACAACTCTTTACTTTGATGTCTTCAGAACATTCTAACATTTTCTGTATAACAGGGAAACTGGCATGTCCTAGTTTCCTATGAAGTAAATGAGTACAGATGTCATGTATTGGTTTACCATTGTATAATTTTTCTGACAGAATGGGTTCACTTGTTGACATATTTTCACTCCCTCCATGACTATCGGGTTTAGTCTCTTTGTTTTTTAACTGAGTGTGTGCACAGATTAATTCGTCATTTCGTGGTAGTAGATATGTTAGTCCCTCTTTAGTGAATATTTTGTCTACGTTCCTATTGTTTTTTGTCATGAATACTTTTCCATTTTTGAATGTGGTCTCTACCCCATTCTCTTTGCTTAGTTTTAGAGTCGCCAATATATTATGCGGAATTTCAGGTATAAATAGTACCCCCTCTATTTTCCCTATACCTTTGATATGAGTGTTACCTACTCCTCTTACTAGAACTTTATTTTGATTCGCTACCTTTATGTAATACTCCTTTTCTGTGAAGTTGTTGAGAATTTTTTGATTGTGAGTTGTGTGGCTTGTGACTCCAGAATCAATGAGCCAGGTGTTGAATGAATCTGATGCTGATGGATTATTGTCTTTTATTCCATATAATGACCCATATCTGTTTTCCCTAGAGTTGTCTCTATATCTTTTTTTGTCTTTTGAATAGTGTGACTCCCTGCGTTTATGTCTGTAGTCAGGAGAAGTTCTATCTGAGAAATGGATTCTTCTATCTGATCTATCTTTGTGATAATATGTATCTCTATATCCTGCATTCTTAGGGCAGTCTCTCTTTTGATGTTTTTCTGAGGCCGCATATAGTGCATTCAGGTGGATATCTATCTCTGCCTCGGAAATCTACTCTTTTTTGGTTTCTGCCTTCCCTTTGATGTATAGATCATTCCCTTCTAAGTTTGTCTTCTGCTATAAGTTTATTAGTAAGATTTTCTAATGTAATGTGTTCTAAACTTAAGCTGTCAAGTAAAGTTATGTAATTATCCCAGCTGGAGTCTAGAGAATTGATTATAATACTTTTCATACTGCCATCAGATATATTCTCCCCCCTTTGGATGAGTTCTGCTCTAGTTGCGTTTAGATTTAGAATATGTTCGCTCATGGGGATACCATGCCTTAACCTGGCAGAGTGGAATTCCCTTGAAATTCTAGTAGTTGTGGCTACATTTTTGCTATAAAATAAATTAAATAATTTTTTGGAATATTTCAGATACAGTCAGGTTATGTTCAAGGCTAGGAAAAATACTTGGGGATATAGAGGCAATGAGGATACAATAAGACTTATGGTGGAGGCAGTCTATCTCATAAGTCCAGGGTTTGTCTGGGGGATCATTAATAAAGAACAAAATGTTTTCTCTCAAATATATGACCTGGAGCTACTGGCTCCATTCCATCAGATTATTTCCATCTAATTTTAATTTTACAAAGTCTGTAGGTAGTGTCCCAGATTGGTGTGAATAGTTACTTACATTCTGTTGCTGTCCATGGTTTAAAACCTTAGCATACTCACAATAAGGCAGAGGTATATTAGAGGCATGTCTGTATTGGCTTGTCTCTATGTTTGGGGTGGATCTGTACTGACTTGTATTTATGTCCTCTTCTTTTTTTCTTGCAGGTTCATTCTGCGCATGCCCAGATCTCATTCTTCCCCAGCAGTCGACGAGAGAGGACTCTGTGCTTGCGGCTCCCGGGATGAAGCCCCAGTCGGCCCTCTGGTCTTCGGCTTTGGCTCCGGAAGGCCTCTGTTGGCTGATAATTGCCCGGGATGCCGTCCAGCTCGTCGGGAAGTCTCCGGAACCGCAGCGGTCGGCGAAATCTTCATCGGAGGTCTGGCGGCCTTGTTCCTTGATGCGGCTGGAGAATGGGGCCCGGTTCGGACAATCAGCGTTGGTGAGTTTGGATCGCTCAGCGAGTTGTTCTGCGACAGGTAAGTATGATATTTTAAATTTTGGGTCTTGGTCGTCTCGTGTGGGCGTCGGGTGGTGTTCTTCAGTGTGTGATTGCTGGCGCGTTTTTTCTCAGGTGGCTTCTTCTAGGTAGTCTAATTCTTTTTGACTTTTGTTTGGTGTTAGTTTAGAGAGTTTTCTTGCGTCTTCTGGTTGTGAGTTTGGTATTTTCAGCTTAGCCCCGAATGCCGCGGTTAACACCTGCATGGCATTATCTATCTCTAGTTCAGTAGGTTGATTAGTATATTTGTTACATAGTTGTTTTTTATTTATTTCTGGAATTGGGTAGTTATTTTCTTTGTAGGTTTCATTTCCCACCTTGTAATTTAAATTTCGGGAGCCTTTTAATTTTTGGTTGGCCATTTTAGAAGGATTAGATAGACAAAATGGCCGCCATGAAAAAGGCGCGAAACCATTGCCAGCTTCATCGTTAGTTTTGTAGTCAGGGGTTGACTTTCTTACCATGGATTTTTCATGTTTATTATGTTCGATCTCTTCATCTGCCGCTGCTCCGTGATCGTTTACTAGGCTGCGGAGTTTCGCGAGCAGATTTGAGTCATCTGGAGCCATTTCTATTAATTCTAGTATTTTTCTTTTTATGTCACCTTCCTTGTTTGAGACTGAGGGAGCTACTTCTGTTCCATCTGGTGATTGTGTGGAATTCTTTTTCGTGGAATTGTATATTTTTCTCCATTTCTTCTTTTGGTGTATTGTTTTCAGGAGTCAGCTGGGCTGCCATTCTTTTCGTTAGATGTCTAGTGACAGGTCTTCTTTTTTCTTTCTGTGATTCTTGCATTTCTAGGTTGGTTGGGCCTACCAAACCATCCTCTTGCTACCAATTTGTTACTTATTTGTTTATTCTGGTTAGGCCCAATTAACAGACTTGAGGCTTCGTTATTACAAAGATATTTATTTGTTTTTTATCTTCCACAGAATTACATTTGGACTGCTACTGCTCTGACAGGAGCATCAACTTATATACAGAGGAGACGGGGCAAAAGGTAAGTAGGGACCAATGGGAAGGAGCATAGTGACATCATGTATTTAACTCATATACAAATGTACATATATACAGAAAACAGGTTAGGTATTTTTAATTGTAACAAATATTGCCTCTCATTATTAAATTACAGGTTGACTTGAAGTAAAGGTCATGTGCCTTCTACTAGCAAATCACTCTTCTGAATTTCAATGAAAGTTGCAAAATTCTATTCAGTTGGTTATCAGAAAATGCTGAGTTTGAATCAGGCAGTTTGACTAATTTGGCAGTTACCTATGTTAGTAACAGAAGGTTGGTGTTTGCTACATTTTCTGTCTCCCTAATAAGTTAATTTTTCAGTTTGATTATTTTTTATCTATATTTCCATCGGTTTCTTAATAATAAATTCAAAAAGAGAGAGTAAATGAGAGAGAGAGAGAAAATGGAATCCAACTGCTAGCTTGGTAACAAATAGCCTCAGAAGCTACAATCTTGGTGAGTTTTTCAAAATTGAGACTCTTAAACCTCAATGCTTTAGGAGTAGTGGATATACACTTAATGTCAGGGTCCAATCTGAAGTTCTTTCTTTATAATATATGGACAATCTCCATATTACCATTTAAGTAATCATATACCATAGTGCTAATGAATAAATTACATAAGGATCCTGATAAGAAAACTTTAGTCTTTTCCTGCTTTCAAAAACTCCTCATATAAATACCCTTTGACAAATACCCAAATGAACTGTACATGAATATATTGCATTTAGTACTTTATATCTTTGAAACTAGCAGTGTAATTACTAGTTTGTAATTGTGACAAGCCTCTTTAGGAGTCTCTGGAGACTGGGGACAGCAAAAAACATCACTTCTTGTCCCACTGGGAGTTGGGAAATGGGCCCTTTCAGGCCTCCGTGTTGTAGAATGAAGGGACCAAACAACATTCCTGGGTCAGCCAGAGACAGTTTTATTGCACAAGGTTCAGAGCCAGTTTTGTACCTGAAGCTTTGAACAAGGAAAGAACTCTGATACAACGGTTTTTATACATTTCTAAGACAAAGGATTCGGTGAGATCATGCATTTTCCATATATGGTTACATACATCCGATTTTCCCTATATGGTTACATACATTTGATAATATGTTCATCTAATTACTAAACCATTAGTAAACCATTATTTTTAGTTTATAAGATTATCTTTAGCTAGACAACCTTTCTTAAGTGCTGTGGTTGTTAATGGGAAATTTACTGCTGTCCTTAGGTAAATTTATTAGATTAAGTAACTCTTTATAACATATATGTCCTTGTGTCATTCACAGTGAGGTCACTCAGATGTTTTCCATATAGCTGTCCTTCCGTCACATCTAGGTCTCATCAGAAGATATATTACCACTTAATGGGGTTTAGCTGCTTTTAATGTAATCTCCAAGCAAGCACTTTTCTCTCTTATAATAATGTGAATAGAGAGGGTCCTTTAGAGCTCATGTATCTAAGCACGTCTTCCCCTTATAATAATGTGAATAGAGAGGGTCCTTTAGAGCTCATGTATCTGACTCTGTATGATTCCTTTCTTTTATCCACATTATCCGGAGGGCCTCCGAGGGACTGGGAAAGGCTGTTTTCGCTCTCCGCTGATGCATAGAGAGGATCTGGAGCCAGGTAAGAAAGAAAAATGGGCCTTCCCCCCCCCAGGCCCCTCACCTCAGAGGTGAGCTGGCGTGGCCACTGATACGGCTATGCATGCCACCTGTGGCACGTGTGCCATAGGTTCGCCATCACGGTTGTATCCCATTGAAACACCAGTACTGTTTTTCTACCTTATTTTTTTCCTCTTTGTTACAACATTATATAGGATCATAAAACCATTGAGATGGAAGGAGCTGTTAAAGCCATGGAGTCAACCCCTGTTCATCTTAGGAATCTAAATTAAAATTTTTATGATCAGTTAGCCCTCTAGCCTCAAATTTCCTAACCTAGCTAGGAAAATTGATTAGTGCCTTACAGGGCAAAAGAATAATTAAAATGACCCTGACATATTTGAACATTGGGTCAAATCCAGATGGATTTGACTATTCATTGGGGTCTTGTATCTGGGCTGGAAAATAATCAAACACATAAATACACAAATGCCTGTGCAATCTTGGGCTGCATTAACAGTAACCAATTGCCTCTCTTTTAGAAGCTTCTACTCACAGAATTAGAATAGAATTATAGAACATAAGGCTTGGAAGAGACTTTGCAGTTCATCTGGTCCAACTGTAAGACTCTACAACTACAGATTCCAACAGATGGCCATCCATATTTTGTTTACACCTTAGATGAAAGAGAGTCAGACTTTTTCTAGAAGAAATTTGGCAGTTATTGTACGACAATAAAGTAAACTAAAAACAAACAAACAAATACTGCTATATTCCATTCACAGAACTCAACCTGCCATATCGCAATCTTTATCATTCACATTAAATAGTATTTCCTAATTGTTTATTTTCCATGATCTGAGTATTAGTGTACAGAGCAGAAAGGCCATTACATTTATTAGTTTGATTCTTTTTCAGTGAGCGGTTTAATACCTCCCATTAAAGCTTGCTTTCTGCAGTGCTTACCTCTTTATCTGAGGTCCTTCATTTAGGATTTTTGCTTTTTATCTCTACAAGAATTTAATTTAATGCATCCTAGAGCAAGCTTACTGTCAGATCTGCCCCAGGTCTGATTCCTTAGGGAAGTAAAACTCTCAACTCCTTGTTGAAGTGAAAAGGCACTTGTCAGCGTACTTCAAAGAATCTGTTTTTTCCAAGTAGTAACCCAATATTGTTAACATTATAAAAATGAAAATCACTTTACCACCTTACACCTCAAAAACCATATTTAGCTTTGTTTCTAGCACAGATTATGATTACTAAATGAAATAAAATAGGAACTCTGAAGAACTCGTGTTGTTAATGTCTTGTTTAATGTATCAAAAGAAGGAAAGGATATACTGTATTTATTACAGATGACAAATAAAATGCAAATCATTTTGGTTGGAATAAATCTTTCTCCAGAATGTTTCCATCCTTGTGGAGCCAATCCAGCAGGGCCAAGATGTTTTGGGAAACACTGAGGTTTTTGGGTTGGTGAAATTTCACTCTCAAGGCAAATGGCCTTGAAGATGCCAGCGCACCAACACAAACCAGATTCCAAAACACTCTGGTCTTCCTCAGCTGTCAATCCCCCCACCCTATTTTCCTATAATAAAAGTATACAGCTTTATTGCCCATTTGTTCCCAACTGCCTTCTCCGATTGATAGCAGAATGCTGGCAAGGTGCCAAGCCAAAGCTGCTGGATCTGACACTTATGGTGCTTTAGCAAATCCATTTCTATATGTTTAACAGATTAACAGCAAATGGCCTGCACTAACAGATTTACTTAGTTGGAAGGGAACTTGTAGGTCATCTACTCCAACCCCCTGCTCAAACAGACCCTACACCATTTTTGACAGATGGCAATCCAATCTCTTCTTGAAAGCTTCCAGTGATGAAGCTCCCACAACTTCTGAAGGCAATCTGTTCCATTGGTTGATTGTTCTCACTGTCAGAAAATTTTTCCTTATTTCCAGGTTGAATCTCTCCTTGTTCAGTTTCCATCCATTATTCCTTTTCTGGCCTTCAGGTGCTTTGGAAAATAGCATGAGTCTCTTCCTCTTTGTGGTAGCCCTTCAAATATTGGAACACTATTATCATGTCTCCTCTGGTCCTTCTCTTCACTAGACTAGCCATGCCCAGTTCCTGCAACCGTTCATCTGTTTCTTTGTGGTGTCGCTTATCTTGGGCCAGCACTATAAATAATTCAGGTCATAATTTGAAAAAAGCTTTACTACAAATATCATTGAATAGGCAATCATTTACTTCAGATATTTTTTCACATTTTCACTGGATTGGAAGGATGGACATGTGACATGTGACATGTCACATGTCCCTGGGATTATCTCAGAAATGGACATCAAAATGTTCAATTAATTATCAGTAAGTAACAGAATACAAGAGTTAGAAGGGACCTTGAAGGTCTTCTAGTCCAGCCCCCTGCTCAAGCAGGAAACTGTATACCATTTGAGACAAAAGGCTGCCCAGACTCTTCTTAAAAGCCTTCAGTAATAGAGCACCTACAACTTCTGAAGGCAAGCCATTCCACTGGTTAATTGTTCTCACTGTTAGGAAATTTCTCCTTAGTTCTAGGTTGCTTCTCTCCTTAATTTTTTTATCCCTTCTTTTTGTCTGACCTTTTGGTGCTTTGGAAAATAGGATGACCCCCTTCTTCTTTATGGCAGGCCCTCAAATATTGGAACACTGCTATTGGGTCACCCTCATCCTTCTTTTCATCAAGACATACCCAATTCCTGCAACCATTCTTCATATGTTTTAGCCTCCAACCCTCTACTAATCTTTGATTGCTCTTTTCTGCACTTTCCAGAGTCTCTGCATCTTTTTTTATAACATGGTGACCAAAACTGGATGCAGTATTCAAGTGTGGTCTTATTAAGGCTTTATAAAGCGGTACTAATACTTCACATGATCTTGATTCTAGTATTGTGTTGACTGTTTTGGCTGCTGCCTCATACTGCTGGCTCATATTTAAATGATTATCTACTAGAACTCCAAGATCCTTTTCACAGTTACTGCTTTTGAGCCAGGTTTTACCTAATCTTTACCTGTACATTTTATTTTTCTTGCCTAAGTGTAAAACCTTACTTTTCTCTACATTTAATTTCATTTTGTTAGATAGAGCCCAAGTTTGTCAAGATCCTTTGGGATCTTGAGCCTATCTCCTAGAATGTTGGCTATTCCTGCCAGTTTAGTGTATATCTGCAAATTTGATGAGTTCTCTTTCTGTTCCCTCATCTGAATCATTTATGAAGATGTTGAAGAATACTAGGCCTAAAACAGAACATTGGGGTACCCCACTACTTACTCCTCTCCATGTAGATGTAGTTCCATTAAGACTACACATTGAGTGTGGTTTGTCAGCTACCCTATTTTTCGGAGTATAAGATGCAGCTTAGTTTTGGGGGAGGAAAAGGGGGGGGGAATCTGCCTACCAGGTATTCATCTGGCTAGCGTCCTTAGTCTGGTCAGCTTCAGCCCATTAGTTCGCTGGTTTTGAGTGTGCACGCGTGCTTTTTATCCTCTACTTGGGAATAAAAAACAGCTTCTAAAGCACAGCTGAGAGGGAGCAGCAATGAGAAAAGCAGGCAAAGCACGAAAGATCACTTCATTCGCTAGTGCCTCGTTAGGACTGAAAAAAAGCTTCTAAAGCACAGCTGAGTGTCAGAGGGAGCAGCAATGAGAAAAGCAGGCAAAGCACGGAAGATTGCTTTACTCACTAGCACCTCATTAGGGCTGAAAAAAAGCTTCAAAAAAGCTACATTCGGAGTATAAGACACACCCAAATTTTCAGCCTCTTTGGGGAGGGGGAGTGTGTCTTATACTCTGAAAAATACAGTAGTTACAAATCCATCTGGTGATGATGCTGTCTATCCCACTTTTTTTAGCTTCCCAAGAAGTAGGTTGTGGTCTAGTTTGTCAGATGCTTTACTGAAATCCAAGTATATTATGTCCACTGCATTTCTCTGGTCCACTGATTTAGTCACTTTGTCAAAGAATGAAATAAGACTTGTTTGGTATGAACTGTTTTTGACAAAATCATGTAGGTGTTTGCAGCTCTGTTACTTGATTATCTTTTCCAGGATCTTCCCAGTTATTGATGTCAGACTGATTGGTGTGTAGTTTCCTGAATCTGTTTTTTTTTCTTTTTGAAAATCAGATCTTTTCCAGTCCTCTGGTAGTTCTCCAGTAGTCCAGGATCTATGAAAAATAATGGTTCAATGGTTCCAAGATTATGTCTGCCAGCTCCTTCAGAACTCTGAGATGTAATCTGTCAGGTCCTGGTGATTTGAACTCATCTAGAGTGGACAGCTGTTCTCTTACCATTTCTTATTAATTTTAATTTACATTCCTAGTCTGTCTTCTATGGTTAGGTATATTTAGGTAATTAACTTGCATGACACATTAATTAATTTTGGTAGATAGGTATGTAATTTGCATGACACAAGGAATCTGAATGACTGATTGAATTAGTTAACTTTCTCTGGGTTTCTTTGGTTGGAATCTATTAGATTGGTTTTGGAAATGTGTACAGGACACTAGCCCCACATCCTGGTTAAATGTATTGTGCAAACATAACCTTACAATAATACTCTTCTCCTAGTTGCTGTGTATTTCTTTTGGTACAGTTTCACACTAACTTAAAATTTGTTCTGAAAATGTCTTATGCATCCATGTCTTATGCAGACATAATGTCTTATGTCACACTTATACGTGAGAAGGAAACTGTTGTATCTGCAGTATTATAGTTTCCAATTAGTTTGTTTTTATAACATGTCACATTGATCTTACTTTCCTGATTGACCAACTTTCTGCACAGAACTCAATTATAACTTGTAAGCCTTGAAAGAGTCCTCTGACTGAAAGTCCAACAGCACTGAAACATCAATGCACTTTGAAAAAAAACCATCTTGATTTTTTTTTCTCCTAGTTTTTAAGTAAAGGCTCTCATCTTCCACAAAGTCTTTTTTGGGCTATCATTGACATTCAGTTCCCAGCTCTAACAACAACAGAAAGATTGGTTTATAAACCCTATTATCATCTGGTGCTTCCAAAGACTTTGTGCAGAAGAAAACTAAAGAGTAAATATGGACAGGAAAAAGCATTTTGCCTAGTATGGAGAAAATTGATTACAAATTCCCTTTTCAACTAGGAAGAATATTTCTGCACAATTCAAATAGCCTCAGGGGTTTCTGTAGACAGCCCCAGCTGGAAGTCTGAATAAATGGTAAGATAAGGGCAGTATACCAGAGATCATAAATCCATGATTAATATAAAGGCTGCAAATAGGTTTCTATTTTAACAGCTTTGGCCAAATAGAGTGCTCCTTCCCTCTTTTTTTAAAATTGTTCTGTACTAAATACATTACCTTCTATGCTTATGTTCTCAAAAGTGAGGAACTATTAATGCGGCATACCATGCAATGTGATGGAGAACTTAAGAGCAGGAACAATCTAGAAAATGAGATAATTTATTTTTTCTTTATTTAAAAAGTTTTAAATAAAACTTTTGGGACACCTTTGGGACAACTATGACCTGGATGACTGAGAATCTCCATAGACATCTAACTTTTCTTGTAATTTAAATACAGTATTATATGCATAAAAATACAGTATTGTGTGCATAACTATAGAATGATATAGAGCAGGTCTTGGCTGCAGGAAGTTTACTGCGTCATCTTTTTCAGACATTTTAGAAATAATGAACTTTCTTTGAATGTGACTGTCAAGTCACTTGCTAACCAGAAAGTTAGGTGATACTTTGTTAAATTATATGCTAAAATCAGGATATATATTGTCTTTAGCTTTCTTTGAAGAAAATCATCCAATTATACAACACAGTTTGGCAAGAGGAATTCTTGATATTTTGGATTTGGAAGAATTGTTATCCTACCAATGCCTGGCAACCATACATAACTTCACTTCAAGAAAGCCACACAGGGAACAACCATACTTCCCTTAAACAAGAGTTCCAAAATTGGGCCTCTGATAAGGCTTTACTTTTAGACATCCTACTAACCAGTAGGACTGTGAATAGGTGCTCTCAACTGCATTCAGCTTGCTAGGTGGAAGGCGTATTAGGCAATATTTTAAGCAATTAGTTCCTAAATTGTTTAGAAATTTAACTTTATAGACTAATACTACTACTGTAGATAGGACCAGGTAGCTCCTGGATAACAAAGGCCATGACCTTATGACCACTTAATAATTAGGGCCTGGATGTTGCAATTTCCACATTATCTTCAGGTGTAATCCACAAAGAATGTACTGTAGTAACCCAATATGTCAGCCCAATAAGGTAGATTAGATTAAGAAATCAAGGTCAGGATTGCTTTTTTTTTGTCATGGTTATACTAACAAAATTTTGCAAGTTTGAATATGCTTCCCCCTCTCTCATTTTACCTTTATGTGAACTAGGGAGAAACTTCTATGAGACATTTACTCAAACCAAGTTCCTGGATTGGACTCAAGTCCCTTTAATTGACTATTGCTTGCTAGTAACTCTTCTCCTTTCCTTCAAGACTTTCCTCTATTTGGTTGACAATATGACAATCATCCAGGCATGAGAGTTATTAGGATTCACTTAGGCTTGGTTATTCCAGTTCCAGTAGAATAATAGCTGGTGCACCAGCTGAAACTGACCACAGATGTTCCTTCCAAACTGTTCTTTTAGTAATAGACTGAAATCAAAGGGAGACTCCAGCTAACCAGCTGTGCATGAAATCATCATTTTATTCAACTTTATTGCTCTTCATAATTTCCTTCAAAGAACTGCCAGCTATCTGCACAGCCCCTCTTGATGAAGGTGGAAAAAAGGAAATACTCTCATTCGATTCCAAATTTCTTGACAACTGCCCCAAGAGCTTAATACAGATATTGAACAATAAGGGAGAAAGAACTGAGCCCTTTTAGACTGTGCCATGCGATTAAACAGAAAGCTCTCAAAATCACTCTCTGATGGTGATCCTACAGGTAGTAATGGAACAACCAAAACCCACCTAAATCATCAAAATGCTGCAGTAATATTACGTCATGACCAATAATGTCAAAGTCCTTGGAAAGTTCCAGCAGAATCACAATGTAGAACTCACCTTGTCTCATAGTAAAAGTCAACCCTCAGAGCAACCAAGATTTCTTTAATACTACATTCAGGCATGAAGCCAGACTGAAACAGATTTAGATAATTAGCTTTTTCCAAACTGGATGCCACCATTTTAACACCTTGCCAAGACATTAAAGACTAACAGAAATGAGCATTTCAAGATGACTACAAAAATATATATTATCTAGCCTACCATAAATTACAACATTTATAAATAAATATATATATATTTGGAAATGTTTGGAAATAATACATCCTATAAAATTACAGTTCATGTAACACTCAGGAAACCCCAAATACTGTACATCTCTGTAATCACACAATTTCTCCCCAGAATCTGATTTGTAATTGAAACAGATTTAATTCTTGCCCATTAAGCAACCACTGAACTTGTCCAGTTTACATGAATTAGTAATACATCCCAAAGCCTACTTACCGTTCTGGCATCCCACAGAGATAAAGTCTTGTCTGCAGAGCTGGTGAGAATAATATTGGAGAAAGGAAAGAACTCAATGCTGTTTACTGAATCCTTGTGGCCACGCAAGGTATACCTGCACCGTTCACTGTAAAGTAATACAATTAAATATCTTGAGCAATTGTGAAATAAATTAACAAAATCAAAGGGCAATGTGAGTTGGCATCAACAAACTCAAATGGACAATAAATTTCCCCAAATATGTGTATCCTCTTTTTCAGAAATTCAATTATTTATTAAATGTTAGAAACGTTACAGTTAAAAGTTCTTACAATATGTAAAGAAATTACATATTAATAATATAGTAGCTAATACATATGTAGATGATAAACATGATATAAACTATGTTCTTAAAAAAAACAAATGTAAAATAAGAAAATTAAAAGCAAATTAGCATGGCAAGGAAACAAACCAACAGAAAGGCACAGAAGCAGACAAAAATTAAAACAAAGACAAAAAGAAAATACAGAAAAAAAAAACAATGAAGGTACTAAACTATTCAAATTTCAAAGTTCTGCTGCCATTCTACACTTTTAAATTAGGAATGATATTATTTGATTTTGTCTCAAAAAAAGAGTGAGCATTCAAAGGCTGAGTTTAATTAATTTTGTTACATAGACATCCTTCCGGGAATGCATAATTGCAATCCAAGATATCTAACTAATAAGGAAATGCTAGTGCACCAAGGTTCCTTCCATATTACACCTCCAATACAGAAGGATGACAGCCAACCGTTTCTAAACATTATTGCAGGGATTCAATAATCCCCAAATATTTTAAATTTATCCAATTTTTAAAATCATATGATAACAATCCTGAAACCTGGAAACTATCCTGAAAACAATTCTGAAATCTTTAAAAATGGAAATGAAGGGCTCTGTTTCCTCTTATATCCACTATGTCACACTCTGCTACTGCCATCTCTGGTCACTGAAACAAATAAAAATTTCTGCCCTAAATACTGGACTGAGATTTATGATTGGCTTCTATAATTAGGGATCAACAAACTCTTTAAAGGGACAGAGCCTGCCCCTCCAAGGTTTCTGCAAGCACAGTTGGCAGACTTTCAGGCCTAAGAGTATGGCAATCATTGGATGGCACTAGTCTGCCAGCAAGAAGTCACTTTTGCCCAGGACACTCCACTCCCACCCTCATCCCCAGAACTTGTCTGAGGCTCAGGCCTGGTGATCTTCTACCTACCTGTCTTTTGCTCTAATAAACAATCTATCTTAATTACAATAGGTACTTCCAATTGAGCAACCAGGTTTTTTTCTTGATATACTTTAATCTGTAATTTTATATAATGTTAAAATAAACATTGAAAGGACTCGATAGATAGGCAAAAATGCCAAATTCAGTCTGAACATCTGGCTGACTGTGAATAATAATAATAATAATAATAATAATAATAATAATAATAATCATAATCTGGAACACAACACGCCAGATATCACGGTTGTTGAGGGCTGAAGCATACAGTTTATTGATATCGCTGTACCAGGAGACGCCAGAGTTGAAGAAAAAGAACTGGAAAAAATCATGAAATATTGCGACCTGGCCATTAAAACTACACGATTAAGGGTGAAACACGTAACAGTGATACTCATTGTCATTGGGGCACTTGGTACCATGTGACGAGGAATCTTTCAGGGGGACTCACTTTCACCACTACTGTTCAACATCACATTAATTCCACTGACAATAATCCTACAAAACACAAAACTGGGATACCAAATCTCAAGTCAACATGGCAAGATAAACCATCTACTATACATGGATGACTTAAAAATGTATGCGAAACGCCCCACTGAACTTAAATCAATACTCAACACAGTTCAACTGTTCAGCAGCGACATCAAAATGAACTTTGGACTTGAAAAATGTGCTATATTATCCATGCAGCAAGGAAAAATGGGAAAAATAGAAGGAATAGAACTGGGAAATGGAAACATAGTAAAAGCATTAGCAAAGGATGATGGTTACAAATACTTAGGCATATTGGAAACAGATAACATCTTGAATGGAAAAGTCAAAGAATCACCGCAAAAGGAATACATCAGGAGGATCCGCAAAATGTTAAAATCAAAGCTGAATGCTGGAAACATAATTAAAGCCATTAAAGCCATTAATAGTTCCAGTGATACGTTACTCAGCTGGAATCATCAACTGGACTTCGGCTGAACTGGAAAACTTGGACTGGAAAATGCGCAAACTTTTGAATATGTATCACGCTTTACATCCATGAAGTGACATCGACAGGTTGTACCTGCCAAGAAAAATAGGGGGTGGAGGACTGTTGCAAATCCATCAAACTGTAGAAGAAGAAAAACAAAGTTTGAATGATTATGTGAACCAAAGTACAGAAAAATTGCTGCAGGCTGTGAAAACAGAGAACATTATAAAAACAACAGAAACAAAGGCAGAATATAAGGAAAAACAGCTGGATGACAGATTAAATAGATGGAAAACCAAAGCTTTGCATGAACAGCACTTGAAAGACATTGAAGGAAAATGTGATGACAACTTTAAATGGGCATGGCTTAAGATGAGAACCATGAAGAAAGAAACGGAAGGTTTAATACTGGCTGCTCAAGAACAAGCACTACAAACTAATGCCATGAAAGCAAAGATACAAAAATCCACCGACAATCCAAATTGCCGAGTTTGCAACAACAAAGTTGAAACTGTTTCACATTTAATATGTGAATGCAGCAAAATCGCACAAACTGATTACAAAGCTAGACATGACCAAGTTGCTAAATTAGTCCACTGGTCATTATGTAAAAAATACGACTTTCCTGTATCCAAAAACTCATGGGAACATAATGTGGAAAAAGTTATAGAAAATGAGAAGGTGAAGATCTTGTGGGACTTTTGGGGATCAGATGGGACAGATGGATCGTCACTTGGAACACAACATGCCAGATATCACAGTTGTCAAAAACAGAAACGTACACTTTATTGACATTGCGGTAGCAGGAAATGCCAGAGTCAAAGAAAAAGAACTGGAAAAAATCATGAAATATCGCGACCTACAATATCGAAACTACACGGCTATGGATGAAACATGTAACAGTGATACCCATTGTCATCGGGGCACTTGGTACCATGTCCAAGAACATACATCAGCAAATTGCAGCTTCCTGCAGTAATACCAGCGGAACTGCAAAAAAGTGCGCTACTTGGAACATCATACATCTTAAGAAGGTACTTGGTTGACACCTAGGACGCTGGCAGCAACCCGTATCAACCATTAGCACCAGTCAGTGGTATTTGTGATGCATTTTTGAATGTTCAGTTGACTGAGTTTCATATTTAATGCATAAAGATGATGATGATGATGATGATGATGATGATGATGATGATGATGATAATAATAATAATAATAATAATAATAATAATAATAATAATATCATCATCATCTCCAGAAAAAATATATAGGTAATCATTGACTTATTACCACTTGTTTAGTGACCATTTGATTCAGCCTTCCATCCTTCCAAGGTTGGTAAAATGAGGACCCAGATTGCTAGGAGCAATATGCTGGCTCTATAAACCACTTAGGGAGGGCTGTAAAGCACTGTGAGGTGGTATATAAGTCTAAATGCTATTGCTATTTTTATGTTCTTTTTAATCTATTTGAAAATAAAACTTCAAAATCTTGTGGGACGTAACAAAATACTGCTTGACGATTTGCCAAGTAGAACTCTATTACAAGGAGGAATAAAAACCATAAAAAGACAAAAATCAATAGTCCTTTCTTTTATTATCATACTAGCTGTACCCGGCCACGCATTGCTGTGGCCCAGTCTGGTGCTTCTGCTGGGCTAAAAGAGCGAGGCTGAAGTTCCAAACTCTCCATGAACATTTGGTGGGCATGGCCAACTCGATGTCACTCACTTTCATCAGTCACATGACAGCCCACGAGCCACGCCTACTCAGCTGGTGATTAGGGCAGAGGACTGGTTGCTAAAAAACAATGGGAACCACAAAATCCTCCCTCTCTGTCTCCCCTTCTCTCTTTGTATCTCTCTATGTCTCTCTCTCCCCCTCTCTCTGTATCTCTGTCTCTCTCTCCCCCCTCTGTATCTCTCTGTCTCTCTCTCCCCCTCTCTCTGTATCTCTCTGTCTCTCTCTCCCCCCCTCTGTATCTCTCTGTCTCTCTCTCCCCCCTCTGTATCTCTCTATGTGTCTCTCTCTCCCCCTCTCTCTATCCCTCTCTCTCCCACCCTCTCTGTATCTCTCTCTGTCTCTCTCTCTCCCACCCTCTCTGTATCTCTGTATGTGTCTCTCTCTCCCCCCCCGTCTCTCTGTATTTCTCTATGTCTCTCTCTCCCTCTCTCTCTGTTTATCTCTGTCTCTGGCCCGGCCTCTTCTGCATCCCCGGCCATCGCCCTTACCTTTTCAGGCCAGGCCTTCGCAGCTCTCTGCACCACAGCAGAAACTCGCCCCCCCCCCGTCCTCCTACACAGATGTTCTCTGGGGGTTGATGGAGACACTTAGCAGGGAAGGAAAGGGAGGGAGAGAGGGGGTGCAGTGGGGGTTCGAGGCTGGTTTGGGGCTTTCTGCCTGAAGGAAGAAAGTGGCAAAGCCAAGAGCCACGCACACCCCACTGACACCTGCTGCACAGTTCTCATCCCCCACCTGCCAAGGGTAGGGGAATGATTAAATCCCCTGTTCTTCTAGGCGAAATGAAGGAGGGCCGGCCATCCTCCCTCCTGCCCGTTTCCGCCCCCCGAAGCCTCCCCAGAGCCCCTTTTCTGCCAGAGGCCGAAATTTTCATGTAGGCTCCATGAACTGCCAGAGTGCCCACTTGAGAATCAAAGGCAGTGCTGGTCAAAGGCAGCCCCGAGGCTACAGTTGCCTCCATCTCCTGCTCACCAACTGGATTCGCATAGCACCAGTTAGTGGCTGGTCTTTCTGACCTCGGGGCCCATGGTAGCGCTGGGCCAGGCGCGATTCGGGCCAGGCGAGGGACAGAGGGTTCCCGCTCGGCAGACCCAGGCAACCTCGTTGCCAGGTGTTCTTTGGAGGGAGCCCTGAGAGCGAGGGGGATGGGCAGCAGCGGCGGGTGAAGCTAGTTTGCAG